CCTACCTCTAAAATGCACTGTGATTTAGTTGTTTTCATTTCATTATGATATTTAGAGACCATATGGACGGCGGATGGACAGGAAACAAGAAACAAATGATAAAATGCCCCTTTAAGTCAATCTCTCACATTGTGTGAATGGAATACCTTGAGCAGCAACACAGTCCTGTGACCTCGCAGTAATTTCACACTGATTAGGCCGGCACTTGGCCACAGGCGGAGAGGGAACAATGTATTTATTCTGTAGTCATGCTGTAGTCACCACTTGCATGCATAACACATTAATAAAAAAAACACCAGTCTACATCCATATTCACAGTTGTTAAGACTGGAATTGCAATTTGACATAACAGGCTGTTTCTTTATTTGTGTCATGTTCAAATGTTTGTCAAATGACTGCTTTTAAAATCGGACTGTCCTTTGAGATTCCCATGTTGGATTCTTTTCTTTAGCCTCTGTCAAGCATGTCCTGGGAACTTCCGTCATCTTTGTGATAAGAGTTAGGCTCACATTCTGTAATGGATCCATTCATTGGTTAATGTTAAGACCTGCAAAGTAGGTATGGGGGCCTACTGTAGTCCTGCTGTGGTCCTACTGTGGTCCTGCTGTGGTCCTGCTGTAGTCCTGCTGTGGTCCTGCTGTGGTCCTGCTGTAGTCCTGCTGTGGTCCTGCTGTGGTCCTGCTGTGGTCCTGCTGTAGTCCTGCTGTAGTCCTGCTGTAGTCCTGCTGTAGTCCTGCTGTGGTCCTGCTGTGGTCCTGCTGTGGTCCTGCTGTAGTCCTGCTGTGGTCCTGCTGTAGTCCTGCTGTAGTCCTGCTGTGGTCCTGCTGTGGTCCTGCTGTAGTCCTGCTGTAGTCCTGCTGTAGTCCTGCTGTGCCACAAAGTGTGTTTGTTTTCATCCCAATCGTGTCTTCATTGGCATCCTTAATTGGATGGACCTGGACAAAATGGCCTCTGTATTAGCCTAGGCACAGTCCGTGTGAAAGAAAAGGAGCAGAGAGGCGCGAAACCGACATAAAAAAAAGAACAAGATTTTGGGGATTTTCACTAAATGTAATCCATAGAATAGTCCTTTGGAGGAAGGATTGTTGACATATATTTGACATTGGTATCTAAAGGCATAATTGATAAATAATCTATCAAAGTTGGTTTATTTAGGACATTTTGGGCTTACCCAGGCCTCCTTTAAGACTCCATAGTGTTTCATCTGTAGATGCTACAAAGCAAACATTGGTGTCATATGACGCTTTACCACTTTCTCTGTAATATGAGTAGTATTTAGATTTCAATAACCGTTTTTACATTAATTTATAAACATGAATATTGAAATAATTAATGTTTTCATTTGGCAAATTTTTCTATATATTGTTGAACATAAAATACTCTTCGGTCATATCAAAGTTCCAAAATGGGATCTCTGCTGCTTTTAGAGTTATGATCCAATTTGTAAGCATTACAGTGACTGTAAAAATGAATTCAAAATGGTTGCCCTCTGCTGGTGATGTGCAGGATGTGCAATGATACAAGTAAAAGGAGGTAGGCTCGGGCGGTATACCGTATATATAAAAATACCGTCATCTGTTTATTGGAAGTTTTTCAATAATGTGAATATTTGTAGCTACTTTATAAGTTAATACTTGCAGACAACTTGTGCAATGCGTTAGGAGATAAAGCAGATTGCTTTTCACAATTCACCTGTCACATTATTTGACATAATGAAGCTTACCGTAGTTCCCCAGAACAGTTGATGCAGTCACGTGTTTGTAAATAGCACAACGGAGATGGCGGGAGGTAGGAAGTCCATAGCGTTCTATATCTATCGGCGAGTCTCTGTTGTGCGGCTCACATGAGGTGATGAAGTTTACACTTGTATGCACAGCTGCGATTTTTTTTCCCCTGTGCTTCCTACTAGCATTATTATTCTCCTCTGTTCTTCTCCCCTCTGCTCCGTGTACACATGCTGCTCTTCCTTCAGAAAAGCATGCGTCACAACTTTGTTCATTTGAACAATTTCTCTCGTTCACTTTCACTTGTAAATGTCCACACTCACTGAAAATGACATTCGGTAGCTTCTAGCTCTGCTTGTGTAACTTTATGAGCTGGATTTGTCACTCTTTGCTTTTAGCTAGTGTCTGTGAATTTGCTATTAGTTTGTGCTAATTTTATTAGCATTCTGGTAAGAGGCCCAATCGGCTTTTCTTGCGTTTTTAGCGTTCCCTTGTGTGCTATGCTGGTAATACCATAAATCCCTGGAAAGTGGACGGTGTGACGATATGGAAATCTGGATACCGCCCAAGCCTAAAAGAGGGCTGTGATTGGTTACATAGCCTAGTATGCCAATTGTTCTGTATAAAATGGGCCATAACTTTAAAAACTAGCAGAGATCCCACTCTGGAACTTCAATATGCCCGTAGAGTATATATTGTTTGTGTGGATTTTTTTTAAACATTATTATTTTGGGTAAAAAACTCCAGGCCCCACTTGAACATCTAAAACTATAAAGACATGATAATGGACCTATATACTTTCAAACAACTGCATTTTTCTGTCAAACAAATCGGTCATAAATCAATCTCAGTTCAGATTCTAAATTTCAGTCATGGGATTTTTTTCCCTTTAAAGATGCACTATGCAGAAATCACATTTCTTGTTTGTTTAAATTTGAATAGTTCGCCTAATTCATAGACTTGCTTTCTATGACAATGACAGATCTATAACTCTGTTATTAAATTTTTTTGTGTATTTTACCCCCTTTTTCTCCCCAACTTTTGATCTTGTCTCATCGCTGCAACTCCCCAACGGGCTCGGAAGAGGCGAATGTGGAGTCATGCGTCCTCCGAAATATGACCTGCTTAACCGCGCTCCTTAACACCCGCCAGCGTAACCCGGAAGCCAGCCGCACCAATATGTTGAAGGAAACACTGGCGACCGGGGTCAGCCCGCAGGCACCTGGCCCACCACAAGGATTCGCTAGACCGCGATGAGCCAAGTAACCCGGACGACGCTGAGCCAGTTGTGCGCAGTCCTATGGGACTCCCGGCCACGGCCGGTTGTGGCACAGCCCGGGAATGAACCCTGGTCTGTAGTAACACCTCTAGCACTGCGATGCAGTGCCTTAGACCGCTGCGCCACTCGGGAGGCATTATAACTCATTTTTCTATGTGAATTTGGTACTGGGGAGGGTCGGCCAAAAAGTTAGATATTGCAGCTTTAACCCCTGGGAGTGTATTGTTAATGAGGCAACAGTCGTCAACAACAATGACTAACATGCATGATGCTTTTGGAATGTCTTGGCAATCGTCTGCAAACGGCGTTCTGAATCAGCTGTTTTATTTATTTTAATTTTACCTTTATTTAACTAGGCAAGTCAGTTAAGAACAAATTCTTATTTACAATGACGGCCTACATCGGCCAAACCCGGACGACGCTGGGCCAATTGTGCGCAGCCCTATGGGACTCCCAATCACGGCCGGTTGTGATACAGCCTGGAATCGAACCAGGGGGTCTGTAGTGACTCCTCAAGCACTGAGATGCAGTGCCTTAGACCGCTGCACCACTCGGGAGCCCGGGCTGTGTATGGACCACTGTTGCTGTTTATATGGGAGGCACATTGTCCCAATATGAAGATGTTTAGACGCGTGCCCTGTCGCTCTTAAACACCTTCCTGCCCTACCGACAATTGCAAAAAAAAATTGAAATCAAGTTTTCTTTTAGATTGTTCAACTCTTTCGATCCTTTTGAAATTAGATGGCAACTAAACAAAGCTTGAGGAAAAAATACAGAAAAACAGACTTTCGCAGTATCGAAAATGACTGTGTTTTGTGGGCGGCTTTATCATAGCAAATGTGACTATTAATGAAGTAGCATGAAAGTTAGGCTAATAATAGAAAATATCCTCCATTGTAGTCACTTCTGAATCTACACTCACTCTCCATTTAGGTGGGGTGGCATCAAAACAGTAGAACAGTAGCTCTGTTGAACACAGTAGTCAGTCTTGCAGTAGAAGAACAACCGAGCACCGCCTGACTTTTTTAGCTACCTAGAAATAGACCGCTTGATGAGACGTCTCATCTCAGGGGGTTGCTTTGATGAGAATGGATGGAAATGCAGCAAGATATCAGAACATAGGAAGTGAGAAATGGGCACTTTTGGAAAAGTTATGCAGATTCTGGCCCAAGCAGACCCAGGTGGAGGAATGTTAATAAAACGTTTTTAGTTCCACAGGAGCTTGCTAGAACGTTATAGACGTGGTCAATATAGCCTTGATCAACTGGATGTGCCTGTGTGGAACTAGGCCTAGATATCGGAAGACTGCGATCCGAAATGAAGCAGTGAGAGGAAGCCGCTGTGGACCACTTCTTTGTTCTCTGCGGTAGCAGAATATCTTGGTCGGGCATGGCTGTCGTCACAGCTTTCGTAACAGGAAACTTATGTGCAAGAGGAGAACGTTGTACGTTTTGCAGCACAGTATACAGTATCATGGCATAGGCTACTAGGCATATACGTTTGTTGTCAAACTTTTATTTTTAGAAGGATAGAGTAGATCTATCATAAGCTTAGTGATGAGGCTGAACAATACTGCTACTACAACCAGAGATTGTTCAGTAACCTTTCTCTACTGTCTCGGCTACAAATAGAGCGATCCATCACGCCAAAGGGTGGCTGTTCTCTTACTTGACTATAAAAGATGGCACTTTGTGTTGTGTGAGTATGGCCTAGGTATGAAGTAGAAACACTTGACTAGTGCCTCTTGAATTAATAATGTCCTCTCTCCACTTAAGTCACTGGGACGTCCCTCTCACGGCACACACCCCTCTGTGGATACACACTCACACACACACACACACTCACTCACCCACTGAGAGAAAGGGTTTGGGGACTGCTTAGGTGGGCAAAACACATTTAGCCAGGTCGCCATAGACTGATGCACTCAGACCTATAGATCAGACTGGTAGGCACTACACTCACAAACTGCATCCATGTGGCTACTAGCTCCAGTTAGTATGGGATGGCTTCGCCTCACCACCATGAACACGCCACCCTATCACAGCAGGGTGACAGCAGTGAGTCATGTTTGTCCAAAAAGGTCATTTAGGCTCCCAATGATGCAAGCCGGTTCATAAGCACAACGGCTGATTCATACCAGACAGCTGATGCAACCATTCTACATTTGGCCTAATTTAGAGAGGAAGCTTCTACTTCAATTAGGCTAATGTGAATATAAAGTTGCTTATGTTAATGGGGAATGGTTGTCATAGCCGAGTCATTGGTTATGAGGATGGTTGCTCTATGGGTCAGGTGAGGGGAGGCTGGGGCATTGTACAGGAAGGGTTCAAGGGTCAGGCTGGTTTTGGACGAGCGAGGGGTTTGGGGTACTAGCAGCCAGACTGCAGGGGAAGGAAGCAATGTGCTGAGCTCTCGCTGTTTTACCACTTTCCTGCAGTCTGAATCAGCTGGATAGACAGACTAGCCTACTAGGGAGGAAGAGAAGCAGAGAAAGGGGTAAAATGATTGTCATAGACTGCGGCTTTCCATACTTCGTTTCTGCACGTTGTTATTGGGCGCATCTTTTAAATTAAGCTAAACACCATTTAGGAGGAAGGAAGGAAATGTGATACATTTAATTTTAGTATGACATGCATAATCTACAGTTAAGTGTTCCCACTGGCCACAGACGTCAGTTCAACGTCTAGTTTTGATTTACATTTGGCTGAGTTGTCAACTAACGTTAATAAAAATTAAAAAATCACCATTGGATTTAGGTTAAAAGTTGACCAAAAAAAGACTAAATGCCCATACGTTGACTTTTTGCAAATCCAATCTGTTTTCCACGTTGATTCAATGTCATCACGTAGATTTGGTTGGGTTGAAATGGAAACAACGTTGATTCAGCCAGTTTTTGCCCAGTGGGTTGAGTTTGTAGACCTAGGCTATTTTCCTATTTGTTCTATCCTGGATTCAGCTTAGTGCCGTCTTCAGCGATTAGTCTGCTTTAAAGTCAAGTGAAACAAACACTTGCGATGCACTAGGCCACCCTTTTAATTTAGGAACACCTCTTCTAAATTTAGCACAGGGACGTGGCGCAGTGGTGTAAGGCACTGCATCGCAGTACTAGCTGTGCCACTAGAGATCCTGGTTCGAATCCAGGCTCTGTCGTAGCCGGCCGCGACCGGGAGACCCATGGGGCGGCGCACAATTAGCCAGCGTCGTCCAGGGTAGGGGAGGAAATGGCCGGCAACGCCAGGGTTGTGGGTTCGATTCCCACGGGGGGCCAGTATGAAAATGTATGCACTCACTAACTGTAAGTCGCTCTGGATAAGAGCGTCTGCTAAATGACTAAAATGTAAAAATTGTAGAATCCTGATTCCCTATCCTCGTTTAGAGGTGGAAAATGGCACAAGTGAAATCCTCCCCGTGTGCAGCGCAGCAGCTTTGGCTGAGGTCTGAGGGGAAACTGCAGCACTGGTTGAGGTTTTTGTGGAGGTGGTTGGCACGGTTTGTGCATAGAAGGGAGAACTGTAATTGTGGATGTTTTTTGTCAGCTGTGGGTGCGTAAATGTGGGTGGATAAGACCGGGGAAGGGGAGCAGAAGCGGGCAAAGAGCGAAAGTATTGGGGGAAGGATAGGTACAGTGCTAGGCTAAATAATATGCAGCATGAGTCTGCATGCTCGAATACCAAGTGTGGTTTTGACAATCCATTTAAAAACGATTATATGTGCTAAGGGGCTTTTCCATCTAGAAGGACCCATGAGCACCAACATGTAAATGAAAGCTAAGAGTCATTTTTCAACCATCTTCCATCCAAAAAAAATGGAATAAGCAAAGGCTTTGATTTATGGTCAAACCGATGGAGAAGGGGTCTTAAGACAACATCTACCAGAAAAAGTCTTAAAAGGTATTAGAAATACATCAAAACACAATAATGTTGAAGACCCCTGCCAACTAATATCAACACTTATATTTCGTTTTAGAGAAATTATTTGCCTTCTGTAAGTTTAAGAAACATTGCCTTGTAATTCCGTCACCAAAAACCCACATATCTTGATAAGTTATTTTCTAATTTCTCTCCCTCATGAGGGAGTATAATGAAAGTTCACAGAAGTAACAAGTAAAGGTAAACATTCCAATTAGCTAGTGTATTTACTGATACTGTTTGTTTATGGATAGTTAAGTGATTAAAACTCATAATTCTGTTACCAAATCGGTAGTGGAATTACTGCAATTGAATTGGCTACAATGGGAAATCATAGTAGTCACAAACCACAGTTGGGTCACCTGCTACTGTCCTCCCTTCCACTGGCATACTGATATGTTCAGCTCAACTGTTTTCTTTCTGTCGTCTGTTGGTCAAAGCAAGACTGTGAAAACATTCTGGACAACCCCTCTCTCTCTGCCACTCTCTCACTTCTCTCTTTCTCTCCAGTTAATGTCACCTCTCCTGGTTCTTAGTGACACCTACCATAACACCTACCCTCTTTCTGTTTACTGTATCAAGCGTCCTCGCCCACTGAGCACTGACCGACACCGGATGTCCATGGATGTTGAAAAGTAGTTGAAATTTGTTCAGTCCGCCTGGCCGGACCAAATCTCAACCAATCATAGACATCTATGTTTCACAAGTTTGGACAGCAGAGAACGGTACAATACAGAACAGGAAATAAAAGTAGATTACACTACTGTACAGTAGAGTTAAGTACATTAGAGCACACTGTACTGTGATGTCCAAACTTGTGAAACATAGACGTCTATGATTGGTTCAGATTTGGTCTGGTCCGGACCAACCATATATTGTCTTGTTTGGGGGCGGAGCTCATTAGAATAATATCCGGTGTGTAGAATAATACCCAAATATATGCAAAATAAGGGTATTGCCTGTTTCTACCTTTGTACCTATTCAGGATACATCACCATGAAGAGCATGATAATCATATCCATAATTATGCATTTCTGTATAGTACAGATCAGGGACCCGTGACGTCATTCCGTTACCGTAATTATGTAAAACTCAAGGTGTCAGTCATGTCATAGCTGACACCCCATTCTTTCTGGGAAATGTGGTCGCATAAAAAGCTGAGGGGGATTTTACCGTAATTCTGTTACCCAACTTTGCATCAGCACAGTTCTTCCAGCAAATGTGTTTTTGTGAAATTTTCTGTGAAATTAGTAGACCTTGTAGGTAGTGTTGTATGGTTTGTTCAACTTTGAAATCTATGGATTTTGTTTGGCATATATTTTAATGTGAAAAACCTTTGTCTCTGCGTAAATCCATTACCGTGGAATTGCCCCTAACAAAACAGAATACATACTACTAGTTGATAGACCCATCTTAACCACTTGCTTTCCCCTAAACAGTAAGGATGGATCACAGTTATTCCCCCTAGATACAAGTGGCACAGTAGCTGTCTTTTCCACCCAATTCTGAGGCTCTGGCAGTAAATTCCTGATAACCAGGCATTGTGTGTGTGTGTGTGTAGTTATCACTGCTCAGTCAGTGAGGCCGCGCCCAATTGGAGTGGTTGGGATGACACCATTCAGTCAGGCCACCCAGGCTGCGCGTTAGGCACTTTCCTACACACACACACCCTCATTTCAACTGACTCCCTTTCATTGTATTTCGAGGTGAGCCCCACTGCAGTCAATCCAGAAATGCGACACTCATTTGATTTAAATTATTGCGCAATACAGGCAATTTTGCCAAGTCCGTGTCCAAATTCAAAATCGGAACAAAGTTGTCTCAATCCAGTCTCTGCGTTCCTTCTCAGTCTAACTTCTCGATTTATCTCCAGAGCTCGGGTAACTAGTCTGTCTGCCGTCTTGCGTATAGCCCAAGTTGAAATGCATATATGCCTACATAAGATGTTGCTTTTTTTTGTTCCCTTCGCTGTGTCCCAGAATAATGTGGTCATTTATTATTCATGTTTTTACGGAGCACCACCTGGATACAAAACACATCCAGAAAAGAGGAGAGAGCGAGCGACTGGGATTTAGCAGACACAGAATGGTGGGGTTCTATGCGGGTCTGATGGCTGTTGGTTGCAGCATGGTACTGGCAACATCGGGGTTGTGGGTTCGATTCCTGCATGGATCACAGTAGTGTGTTAGGCTAACATTGGATAAAAGCTGCTAAATCACCACCTGGGATCAGTCAAGCCTTCCACACCTCAACTATGCCTTTTCTACCAAATGTACAAACAATTGTTGACTTCATGTACACTGAACTAAAATATAAATGCAACATGTAAAGTATTGGTCCCATGTTTCATGTGGTGAATAGAAAATCCCAGACATGTTCCATACGCACAAAAAGCTAATTTCTCTAAAATTTTGTGCGCAAATGTGTTTATATCCATATCGGTGAGCATTTCTCCCCCTTGTGCTGGGGACAATAAAAGGCCACTAACATGTGCTGTTTTGTTACACAACACAATGCCGCAGATGTTTGAGGGAGCGTGCAATTGGCATGCTGACTGCAGGATTGTCCACCAGAGCTGTTGCCAGAGAATTTAATGTTCATTTCTCTACCATAAGCTGCCTCCAACGTCGTTTTTAGAGAATTTGGCACTATGTCCAACTGGCCTCACAACCGGACTGTGTAACCACTCCAGCCCAGGACCTCCACATCAGGCTTCTTCACCTGCGGGATCGTCTGAGGGGGGGTGGGGGGGTGCTGAGAAGTATTTATGTATTTAATAAAGCCCTGTCTGGGCCTGGCTCCCCAGTGGGTGGGCTTGGCTGCCAAGTGGGTGGGCCTATGCCCTCCCAGGCCCACCCATGGCTGCACCCCTGCCCAGTCTTGTGAAATCCATAGATTAGGGCCTAATTCATTTATTTATTTCCTTATATGAACTGTAACTCAGTAAAATCTTTTAAATTGTTGCATGTTGTGTTTATATTTTCGTTCAGTATAGTAGAAATGTTCTCAACAGGCAAACCAGTAAGATACAAGTTAAAGTAATAATACAAAACTAATGAAACTAACTAGTGAAACATTTCTAAGCACCTCTTTGAGATTCTAAGTGTCTTCCTCCTTTTCTGTTTGCATCCAGGACCACACTTTGCGAATGAGTGATTGATGCCAAATTCGCTCCTTAAGGTAAGAGATCAACTCCTTGTTCCACTCATATCATTATAGGGTCGTTCCATATGATTTCACTTTCTGACTGCACCCCTTTTTGGTTTGACAAAACGTTCCATACATTGACTCTGTATCAGTACTCCCTGTATATAGCCTCCCTACTGTTATTTTATTTTACTGCTGCTCTTTAATTATTTGTTATTTTTTACTTCACTTATTTTTCTTAAAACTGCATTGTTGGTTAAGGGTTTGTAAGTAAGCATTTCACTGTAAGGTCTACACCTGTTGTATTTGGCGCATGTGGCAAACACAATTTGATTTGATGTTTGCCCATGGAAGAAGTAATCAAAGTGACTTTTTCGACTTGAATGCCAAAACATTCAGGAGATAGACGTGCTCAAACTTGACCCATTTTGCATACCCCACCATACCATGAGACATCACTGGAAAAGATAAATGGTTGAGATTTAATATAATTGAATAGCTTACAAACAGTGTTGTCAAACTATTTTATTATTTCTTGCATTTATATTTTTTTTATCCAGCAATTATCAAAGTTTGACAACCCTGTTTTTTAAACTGATTGAATTCTGATTGAATTCAAATGGATTTACCCTATAGTCAATGCATTTAAGACTCTTATATTTTCTTGTACACAAATGTTAATCCTAAGAAAACATGTACCCACATCTAAAAGTGATCACCAAGGATTGGGCCTCCAGTTACAAGTACAACACATCTGAATTGATAATCCAATCATAACCAGTTGCACTGTGAAAGGGTCATTTTTGGGTTGTCAGTAAGGCATGTGTCCCCGTTCTCCCAGGGCAGTATGGGTGTGTGTCCCCTGCTCCTGCTGCTCAGTGTGGCCCTCTGGGTCTCCGTCTCAGCCCAGGGACCACCTCTCATCCCCACAGGTAAGGAGGACCCACATGACATCACCTGAACAGCTGGATCCTACCGCTGACACCATTTTGACATGTGTATTGTAAAATACTTGTTTGTATCACTGCAACTCCAATGAAGTTGCAGTTGAGGCATAAATTACTCAACTCAAACATCAGGGGTTCTCAAAGTGGGGTCACGGAGGTACGCCAGGGGGTCCGCGGCCAGATCTCTAAATATAACACAATTATATCGAATATTTTTTTATATAAATAAATATTACTAACAGATTCAACTAATTTTGTCCAGGGGATCTGTGGAATAAGTTTAGAGTGTGTAATACAATGTAATATTATTAATCTACAATTTATGTTCTTAACCCTGGGCAAAATGGGGATATTGGTATCCACAGTACTCCACCAATTATAATTTTTTCAACAAAAAATGCATTGTAATTTAAACTTTAAAACTGCAAAGTTCTCTCTGCCCCACGACAAAATGTGTAGAATTGCAGAAAATTAACTTGAAAATGTCAACATTTTCTCGAAGAGGCAGGCCTTTAAAATGTTCCTTCCCAGGGCCAGAGACTTGGTTTGTCTGTCCATGCACTGCCGAAGTCATAGTGAAACTCCTTGTATGCTATTCTTATCTCACTGAAGTTATGTTCTGATTATGAGGGGGTCCCCGATGAATTAGCTATCCCAAAAGGGGTCCCAGGACCCAAAAAGTTTGAGAATCCGTGGCCTAGATAAACTGTATCTCTCTCGTAGAAGGTCCAGTCCCCACTGCCAAACCCACGGACCCTCCAGCCACCACCCTCCACAATGTTCCCGTGGCAACAACCACCACCACCCTTCCAACAACCGCAGCCCCCACGGCTGCCGTGACGACCCTGACAACAACCAGCACCGTGGAGCGGGTCATTATGACTGCAGGCCCCAGTGCCACCCCTGCGCCCGCCCCCAATCCACCACCCCCTGGCCCAACCAGGGCAACCGCCGACCCACAACCACCCCCTGCTCCGACCACGGTCAGTCAGGGAGGGGGAGGGGAGAATGGGACCACACCCTCTGCTCCGGAGACAACGTCCTTGGACAGTCACACAGATCCCCCGCTTGAGACCGCCACAGAACCGACAGTGGATGCGGCGTCGGCCGACACGAGTGGTGCCACTACTACAGGTGTGTGTGTCTGTATCTGTGTTTTATTGAGTGTTTTTGTGTGTGCTTGTGAGAGTGAAAGGCGAGCAGGTCAGTGCTGTGTGTGTGGGGTGTAGGATGTTGTTTTTTATGTTGGATAGTAATGGTACTCTTGTTTTTCCCTCCTCAGGTGGAGAAGACGACACAGGTAAGACTGTGTGTGTGTGTGTGTGTGTGGTCTCGAGTTACAACGTCATGCAGAATGGTCATACAGCTAAGATGAGCACAACATACAGTGCCTTCAGAAAGTATTTATACCCCTTGACTTATTCCACATTTTGTTGTTACAGCCTGAATTCAAAATGGATTAAAAAAATAATAATTATCTCACCCTTCTACACACAATACTCCATAATGACAAAGTGAAAACATGATTTTAGAAATGTTAGCAAATGTATGGAAAATGTATTACAGAAATATCTAATTTACATACGTATTCACACCCCTGAGTCAATACATGTTAGAATCACCTTTGACTTACCCAGTCTTTCTGGGTAAGTCTCTAAGAACTTCGGATTGTGCAATATTTGCACATTATTCTTTTTTTAAATTCTTCAAGCTCTGTTAAGATGGTTGTTGAACATTGCTAGACAGCCATTTTCAAGTCTTGCCATAGATTTTCAAGTCTATTTAAGTCAAAACTGTAACATTCAATGTCATCTTTGTAAGCAACTATTCCGTTTCTTTTTATCCTAAAAAAACTCCCTAGTCCTTGCCGATGACAAGCATACCCATAACATGATGCAGCCACCACCATGCTTGAAAATATGAAGAGTGGTACTCAGTGATGTTTTGTGTTGGATTTGCCCCAAACCTAACGCTTGGTATTCAGGACATAAAGTTAATTTCTTAGCCACATTTTTTGCAGTATTACTTTAGCGCCTTATTGCAAACAGGATGCATGTTTTGTAATATTTTTATTCTGTACAGGCTTCCTTTTCACTCTGTCAATTAGGTTAGTATTGTGGAGTAACTACAATGTGGTTGATCGATCCTCAGTTTTCCCCTTCTTTGCGAATTAATCTGTGTTTGAAGTTCACTGCTCGACTGAGGGATCTTCAGATAATTATACACTATATATACAAAAGTATGTGGACACACCTTCAAATGAGTGGATTCGGCTATTTCAGCCACATCTGTTGCTGACAGGTGTATAAAATCGAGCACGCAGCCATAGACAAACATTGGCAGTAGAATGGCCTTTCTGAAGAGCTCAGTGACGTTCAATGTGGCACCGTCATAGGTTGCCACCTTTCCAACAAGTCAGTTCGTCAAATTTCTGCCCTGCTAGAGCTGCCCCGGTCAATTGTAAGTGCTGTTATTGTGAAGTGGAAACATCTAGGAGCAACAACGGCTCAGCCGCGAAGTGGTAGGCCACACAAGCTCACAGAACGGGACCACCGAGCAATGGCACACAAGCCTAAGATCACCGTGAGCAATGCCAAGCGTTGGCTGGAGTGGTGTAAAGCTCTCTGCCATTGGACTCTGGAGCAGTGGAAACGTGTTCTCTGGAGTGATGAATCATGCTTTACCATCTGGCAGTCCGAAGGACGATACTGGGTTTGGCGGATGGCAGGAGAACGCTACCTGCCCGAATGCATAGTGCCAACTGTAAAGTTTGGTGGAGGAGGAATAATGGTCTGGGCTGTTTTTCATGGTTCGGGCTAGGCCCCTTAGTTCCAGTGAAGGGAAATATTAACGCTACAGCATACAATTACATTCTAGACGATTCTGTGCTTCCAACTTTGTGGCAGCAGTTTGGGGAAGGCCCATTCCTGTTTCAGCATGACAATGCCCCCATGCACAAAGCGAGGTCCATACAGAAATGGTTTGTCGAGACTGGTGTGGAAGAACTTGACTGGCCTACACAGAGCCCTGACATCAACCCCATCAAACACCTTTGGGATGAATTGGAACCCCGACTGCGAGCCAGGCCTAATCGCCCAACATCAGTGCCGGACCTCACTAATGCTCTTGTGGATGAATGGAAGCAAGTCCCCGCAGCAATGTTCCAACATCTAGTGGAAAGCCTTCCCAGAAGAGTGGAGGCTGTTATTGTGAAAATGGGGACCATTAACTCCATATTAATGCCTATGTTTGTGGAATGAGATGTAAGATGAGCAGGTGTCCACATACTTTTGGTAATGTAGTGTATGTGGGGTACAGAGATGAGGTAGTAAGTAAGTAGCCTTGCACAAGCAAAGGCTTGTGTGAGCTGGAACGGGACCATACATATAATTGTATGTGAGCTGGAACGGGACCATACATATAATTGTATGTGAGCTGGAACGGGACCATACATATAATTGTATGTGTGGGGTACAGCGATGAGGTAGTCATTCAGAAATCTGTTATTGCACACAGACTGAGTCCATGCAACTTATTATGTGACTTGTTAAGCACATTTTTAGTTCTGAACTTATTTAGGCTTGCCATAACAAAGGGGTTGAATACGTATCGACTCAAGACATTTCAACTTTTCATTTTTATTCATTTATAAAAACATAATTCCACTTTGACATTATGGGGTATTGTGTGTAGGCCAGTGACACAAAATCTAAATGTATTCCATTTTAAATTCAGGCTGTAACACAACAACATTTAGAAAAAGTCAAGGGGTTTGACTACTTTCTGAAGGCACCGTAAGTCATAAGCAGTCGTGGCAGCGACGTGCCAATAATTGAACTGGCTTGTCGAACACACGCAGTATTCAAGCCCTGCATCATCTCACAGTATGAGCCGTTGAATTGGAATGGGCCGAATAGTCCTCCTCCTCTACTCCTCATCAGTTTCACTTACCTTCCTACCAACGTGGTGCCTCACCATTCAATGTGTACATTGTACCACAGAGAACACTGAACATTGTTAGCTGAACGTTCCAAACTGCATTACCAAGATAGCATAGTCTCACCAACGTGAAATCAAATGTGGCCCTGTTTGGCTCAGTTGGTAAGGGTGGCATAGTGCACACAATGCCAGATTTGAGGGTTCGATTCCCACTGGGATCACAATCGGTCGCTGACGCTTTTATTCAAAGTCTGCTAAATGGTATATAATACATCATATTACGTTGCATGGATTGAGAAAGACTATATATCGATAGTTTATATTCTAATCTAGAGTATATACAATATATGACTGGTCCTCGTGTATTTGGTATTTCTGCTTCTGTAAAGTCTCATTGTTTGTGTCGTGATGACTCTTTCTGCTCTATAACAACGGATATAGAGCAGGCCCTCCTGTAGCTCAGTTGGTAGAGCATGGCGCTTGCAACGCCAGGGTTGTGGGTGCGATTCCCACGGGGGGCCAGTATGAAAAATGTATGCACTCACTAACTAAGTCGCTCTGGATAAGAGCGTCTGCTAAAATGACTAAAATGTAAAATAATGGCGTCTATTCTGTCATTATTATGAAAATGTTATGCAAAACTAATGACAAAGCTGTCCAAAAAACGGTTACCAAGATGTCCTTACTTAGGAGCTCCTGTAATCAGTGTAGAAGTCAGCGAACAGTTTCATATAGCCTGTCTAATGCATACAGTTAACTATTAACAGTATTGAATAGTATTGGTTTTCTTTCAAATACTTAAGCTGATTTGTGCGCTTGATCGAGCTTGCCTGGTGCAATGGATCCAATGGTGCCAACCCAAACTGCATTTGGCACTCGAAACAGGCTCAATCAAATGCTAAATCGAACTTTTACTCAAAATGTTAGAGTATGTTGTTAAATTCTGTCTCTTTCCCCCCCATTCTCTCAGACCAAGATACGCAATCAGATGACACGCCCATCATTGCGGTGATGGTGGCTCTGTCATCCCTGCTCGTCATCGTCTTCATCATCATCATCCTCTATATGCTCAGGTCAGTCATGTCCCTCTCAGGCAGAAACCACCCACACCACTCATCTGGGTTGTGTTCAGTAGTGCATGCCGTAGCAAAACTTTTTGTAACTGAACCAAAAGTCTGTTCTCTTATTGGAGTTGAGGTAGTACTTGGCCTGTGTGGTTCAGCGGAAACTCGTCCCTGGATCGTGTTCATCAGGCACCAAATAGAAGAAAATGGACTGAAACTGGGAGGGGCTTCCTGAACTTCCAATAAACATTAGTTTTCGTTGCAAAAAGGATTGCTGCATTTTGCTATGGTGTACCATAATGAATACACCCTGGTTTTCTCCCCCACAGTCGCGGCTTCAGCTTCATGTCTCAGGGAAGCGTTTGTAAACTAAAAAGAAAAGTATGGTTGCAGGCACGATTATCTTTGAAATAGAGCTATACAATAGTCAGATATGAGACCCGTGTAAAACGCTAACGATCTCGTACACCCACACCTACTCACACAATTCATTACACATTGTAAAAGCGCAGAGCAGGAAATGGTTTGCTTGTGTTCTTTCATACACAAACACCCTATAGAGGCCACTGTTGATGAACCAAGTGTTATAGTTGTTACCATGGCAATGGACAGGGTGTGTGTGACTGTGTGTGGGTGATATTCTGGATTTACATTGCTTTCAGAAAGTGTTCACACCCCTTGACTTATTACAGCCTGAATTTAAATTGATTAAATTGAGATTTTGTGTCAATGATCTACACAAAATACCCCATAATGTCAAAGTTGAATTATGTTTTTAGAAATGTTTATGTTTACAAAGCTAAAATGTCTTGAGTCTAAGTATTCAACCCTTTTGTTATAAGCAAGCCTAAATAAGTTCAGGAGTAAAAAGTTGCAGGGACTCACTCTGTGTGCAATAATAGTGTTTAACATGATTTTTAAGTGACTACTGCATCTCTGTACCCAACACATACAATTATCTGTAAGGAACCTCAGTCGCACAGTGAATTTTAAGCACAGATTCAAGCACAAAGACCAGGGAGGTTTTACAAAGGTTCGCAAAGAACCTATTGGTAGAAAAAAACAAAAGATACAAGAGTCCTTTTTAACTCCGTTGCCGGTGAGGAAGGAAACCACTCAGGGATTTCACCATGAGGCAGGCCAATGGTGACATTAAAACAGTTACAGAGTTTAATGGCTGTGATAGGAAATGACTGAGGATGGGTTAACAACATTGTAGTTACTCCACAATACTAACATAAATGACAGAGTGAAAAGAAGGAAGCCTGTCCAGAATTTAAAAAAATATTGTTTGCAATAAGGCACTAAAGTAATACTGCAAAAAAATTGGCAAAGAAATTAACTTTTTGTCTTGAATACAAAATGTTATGTTTGGGGTAAATCCAACACATCACTGAGTACCACTCTTCATATTTTCATGCATGGTGGTGGCTGTATCATGTTATGGGTATACTTGTCATCAGCAAGGACTAGGGAGTTTTAGGATAAAAAGAAACAGACTACAGCTAAGCACAGGCAAAATCCTAGAGGAAAACATGGTTCAGTCTGCTTTCCAACAGACACTGGGAGACAAATTCAGCAGGACAATTACCTAAAGCACAAGGCAAAATATGCACTGTAGTTGCTTAACAAGATGACATTGGGTGGGGGATTGGGGTTGAATACTTATCTAATCACAATATATTAGTGTTTTGTTTTACATGAATTCACAAAAAGTAGCAAATCTCTTTCATTTTGACATAACAGTGAATTTTGTGTAGATCGTTGACAAAAAAGGACAAATCCATTTTAATCCCACTTTGTAACGCAACAAAATGTGGAAAAAGTCAAGGGGTGTGTATACTTTCTGAAGGAGGTGTATGTATTCATGTGTGTGTCATGTGTGATTGACAGGTTTAAGAAGTACAAGCAGGCCGGCAGCCATTCCAACTCCTTCAGGCTGACTAACGGTAGATCAGATGATACAGGTAACCGTGTGTGTGTGTGTGTATACGCATGTGTGTGTGAACACGCATGTTTTGTCTGTGGTCGTACATTTTTTTTATTTATTTAACTTTTATTTAACTAGACAAGTCAGTTAAGAATTCTTATTTACAATGACGGCCTACCCCGGCCAAACCCGGACGACGCTGAGCCAATTGTGCGCCGCCCTATGGGACTCCCAATCACGGCCGGATTGAGATACAGCCTGGAATTGAACCAGGGCCTATAGTGACGCCTCTAGCACTGAGATGCAGTGCCTTAGACCCACTTGGGAGCCATTTTCCGGGACTTTCTCCATTGTTCTGTGTTGAGATAAAATCACATTGGTTTTGTGATCATTTACGGGTAATGTTGTCATATTCACTGATTCTTGGCCTATGCAGTTGTTCCATATGATGAATTGTGGCTCATTAGCAGTGTTGGATTGGTTTATGGCGCCCCCTTGTGGGCTTTTATTAACAAACACAGTCAGTTTGGCGAAGTTGCATGTGTAGATTAGAATCTAATGTTTAATGTATAACATATTTAACATAATATAGCGTATTTTCTATAGTTCATTAATTTAGTTTATAATCATTGGTTGGTGAATCTGTCACTCTGGCTGTTACAACATAACGTTTTGTAATTGTTTATTACTGTAACAATTGTTTATGTATACTTTGTGTATATGTGTATCTATCTATATCTATATAAAAATCATTGTTTTCATACAATTTATTGTTGTCAGTGTCTCAACAATAAGGTTTTCTCTCTCTCTCTCCCCTCCCCTCCATCCCCTGTGGGCCTCAATCACCACATATCTTTCCCATCCCATTACTTCCCTCCCTTCCTGCTTTTCCAGAGCTCCAGAGTGTGCCGCTATTGGCCCGCTCGCCCAGTACCAACAGGAAGTACCCGCCCCTTGTTGTCGACAAGCTGGAGGAGGAGATGAATCGTCGCATGGCTGACGACAACAAGCTCTTCCGGGAGGAGTTCAACGTATGGAGTCCGCGCACACACACAAATATCGATCTATATACACACACATACTGTACACACACACACACAATTATATACCCTGAGTATACCAAACATTAGGAACACCTTCTTTTTTGCCCTCAACAGCCTCAATTCGTCAGGGCATGGACTCTACAAGGTGTCGAAAGCGTTCCACAGGGATGCTGGCCATGTTGACTCGAATGCTTCCCACAGTTGTGTCAAGTTGGCTGGATGTCCTTTGGGTGGTGGACCATTCTTGATACACACAGGAAGCTGTTGAGCATGAAAAACCCAGCAGCGTTGCAGTTCTTGACACACTCAAACCGGTGCGCCTGGCACCTACTACCATACCCCGTTCAAAGGCACTTAAATCTTTTGTCTTGCCCATTCACATGTACTTACATACATATACACACACCTTACACACATTTCAGTCATCTATGGCCCTGTCAGGACAATGGGCGGGTAGTAGTTGCAACTAGAATGCTCTGTGTGTGATTCTAGCTTCTGATTGGCGTGATACTCCCCTACACAGAGCCTATTAGCTGTGTGCCAATACTTCCTCATTCCATTTCCCTTAGCTTCCTTTCCTTATTAGCTTTTTCCTCGTTTCCACCAAGGGTGGAATTGGATAGAAGAATATCACTCTAGGGACACACCAATAGGAACATGCATCACTCAGCTAAGATAAATGTTACCCGTCTGTGTGTCCAGGCGCTGCCGGTGTGTCCCATCCAGGCGGCATGCGACGCGGCCTCTAAGGAGGAGAACAAGGAGAAGAACCGATACGTCAACATCCTGCCATGTGAGTCCCCAACGCAGAGCTAAACCCTGATTCTGTTTCGAAATACCTAACATGGCATAGAACTGCTTCTTACCTTATCGTAGTCCAAAAAACATCAGTTGGAAAGACGTTGTCAATGTTGCGAACAAGAACAAATCGTAATTCAGGAAGTTGTCCACAACAACAGCTAGACTGGCTAGTTTCTGTAAAAGTGCTAATTAGCAGCATTAAGTGGAGTTCTACAAAGTATGTTTTACACTCGTGGATTTCTATTCCTTTGCTACTATCGGTATGTATTTGACATTTGGCGCTAGATGTAAATGTTAATGTTACATGTAGCTCCTTTAAAACACAGGCTTGCTATTCAATCTAATCAAGGTTCTGTTTTTGTGTTTCAGATGATCACTCCAGGGTGCATCTGTCGTCTCTAGAGGGAGTTCCAGACTCTGATTTCATCAATGCGTCCTTCATCAACGTGAGTGACACCACAAGCCATGGACATCAATGACAAGCTGTGTTTTATTTATTTTAATTTTTTTGCTAACCCTTGGCAAGTGCTCCCTTGTCAGAGGTCTTTTGACCTCAATGGGACTCCCTGGATAAATAAAGGTTAGGTAGAACGCATGTCCAACTCTCAATGCGCATGAGGTTGAAACAACATCAATACATCAGAAAGTAGAGAAATATGGACGATACATCAGAACATTACCTAACAATGCAAGACACGGTCATTAAACGGATTCAGCGTTCAAACAAAACTTTTTTTCTCACCCTCTTCCTTTTCTGTCTTCCTCTTGTTCACAGGGGTACCAAGAGAAGAACAAGTTCATTGCAGCTCAAGGTAAGGAGGCTATTCTAGCCGCTGGGATTGGCTTATGTCATGCATCCCAAATGGCACCCTATCCCATATTTAGTGCACTACGTAGCCCTGGTTTCCAACGTGCCCCATCTCTCGGTTCCATTCAATCCGATGAGCTTTGTTGGCATCGTAATATGACATCATAATACATTGCCAAAGCAAGCATACAGGATTGTATTTAATCAATGATGATAATATCCAGTGGATGATAATATCTCTTCTGTCTCTCTCAGGGCCAAAGGAGGAGACTGTGAACGACTTCTGGAGAATGATCTGGGAACAGAACACAGCCACCATCGTCATGGTGACCAACCTGAAGGAGAGAAAAGAGGTAGGGGAGGAGGAGAAAGAGGGGGAGGGGTGAGAACTGGGATGTGTTCAGGAAGGTGAAACGTTCAGAATGTGTTGCAGATAGAAATGTCATAAGAGCTAACACGGCTGCCTATTTAACAGTTAAAGGCATTTATAATATATGTTCTACGAAATACATTTCTATCTGAACCGTTCTGTAACATTAGACACTCCTGAAAAGACCCCTGCTAAGTCTTTTGTAGTAGATGCTATATGAAGATGATGGGGTATGTTCAGCATGTCAAATTTCCAACGGGAATGTATGAGTGTACGACTATGAGTGTTTGTTTCTTTTCATTTGAAAGAAATCCATACAGCGGCAATCTCTCTGTGTGTCTCAGTGTAAGTGTGCCCAGTACTGGCCGGACCAGGGCTGCTGGACCTACGGCAACATCCGGGTCTCTGTGGAGGACATGATGGTGCTGGTGGACTACACCATCCGCAAGTTCTGCATCCAACAGGTAACCCTGGCGTTCCCTTCTCTTTTCCTCTCTCCTCTTTTCCTCTCTCCTCTTTTCCTCTCTCCTTCTCTCTCCTCCCTCCTCCTCGTTTGTCCTCTGTTCTCCTGCCTACAGACGCCAAGCATTCTCAAATGAACAACACTCGTAGCAGGTCTCTCTATGTTTGGTACACTGATGGCAACGTTTGTGAGACTGTGAGAGAGAAAAAGTGAAGGTGAAAATAGCATTAAGCTGATACTCCAAAACAGTCCGACTAATGGTGTCTCTGTCTCTACCGTTCCCCCTCCTTCTCTACATCCCTCTCCCCCCTCCCGCTCTCTCTAGGTGGGGGATGTGGGGGGTAAGAAGCCCCAGCGGCTGGTGACCCAGTTCCACTTCACCAGCTGGCCAGACTTTGGCGTTCCCTTCACACCCATCGGCATGCTTAAGTTCCTCAAGAAGGTGAAGACCTGCAACCCCCAGTACGCCGGCCCCATCGTGGTCCACTGCAGGTCAGTGTGTGTGCGCGTGTGTTATTGGTGGCAGCGGAGGTAGTTCGCTGATGCCTAGATGCCAAGCTAATCCCTAGTCTTAAGCTTGGTGGGCTAACACAACCCATGTTCAGGCACACACTACAAACTATCTTTCTGTGCGTGTTAGATTCTGACTCACGCTCTCTCTCTCTTTCTACCTCTGTGTGTGTGTCGGACTGTGTGTCGGACTGTGTGTCGGTCTGTGTGTCGGTCTGTGTGTCGGACTGTGTGTCGGACTGTGTGTCGGACTGTGTGTCGGACTGTGTGTCGGACTGTGTGTCGGTCTGTGTGTCGGACTGTGTGTCGGGACTGTGTGTCGGGACTGTGTGTCGGGACTGTGTGTCGGGACTGTGTGTCGGGACTGTGTGTCGGGACTGTGTGTCGGGACTGTGTGTCGGGACTGTGTGTCGGGACTGTGTGTCGGACTGTGTGTCGGACTGTGTGTCGGACTGTGTGTCGGGACTGTGTGTCGGTCTGTCGTCGGTCTGTGTGTCGGTCTGTGTGTCGGTCTGTGTGTCGGACTGTGTGTCGGACTGTGTGTCGGACTGTGTTTCAGTGCGGGAGTGGGGAGGACAGGGACCTTCATAGTGATAGACGCCATGTTGGATATGATGAACACCGAGAGAAAGGTGGACGTCTTTGGCTTCGTCACGCGCATCAGAGCCCAGCGCTGCCAAATGGTCCAGACAGACGTAAGTTGTACTGACCGCAATAAGAACTAACCACAACATTACTCAGACTGCAATAAGACCACAACATTATCCTGACTTGAATAAGACCACACACTCACAGCATTATAATGTATGAATTATATAAACCAGTTTCCACTCAAGTCTCAAATTGGGAGCTTTAAGTGTGTGTGGGTATTACCCGTTCATGTTGTGTTCTCTTCTGACACCACTTGTGGATGTGTAATATGAGCATCGCAAGTATACTAAAAGTCTAATGATTTCTCTCTCTCTCCTCTCTCGCCCTCCTTCCCCCTCCCTCTCCCCACAGATGCAGTACGTGTTCATCTTCCAGGCTATGCTGGAGCACTACCTGTACGGAGACACAGAGCTGGAGGTGACTTCCCTGGAGTCCCACCTGGCCAAGCTCTACGCCCCCGCCGCCGCCGCCGGCTGTGGGGGCATGGAAGCCGAGTTCAAGGTGATTTAGTTTGCCTGGTGTAATGGAATAGTCTCAAAAGTCCAAGCTAAATCAATCAATTTGACCATAGCACGTCTATTTGACTCAAACGGAAGAAAATTGATTGAAACCGGAAGGGACTACCCGAACATGTCCAATAAGAAATTGTCGTTTTTGTTTGCTGTTGCAAAATGTTTTGCTACGGTGTGCACTTATGAATATGATTCAGGTTTAAACCGTTGCAGTAGCAGTTGACTTGAGAGCATTTTTTCCCTTGAGTAATTTTTTCCAAGTCTCTTAGAGCTAAGCCTGTGGTTTTGTCTCCCCACACAGAAGCTGACCTCCATCAAGATCCAGAACGACAAGATGAGGACTGGCAACCTGCCGGCTAACATGAAGAAGAACCGAGTTCTCCAGATCATCCCATGTGAGTGACGGCTTCTACTGTTCCAGTAACCTCGACTGAGACCTGAAGACTTGTGTTAGCTCCCCGAGCTAATGCCTAGGCTTTAGCGTAGCAGATTATCGCAATCTAATGTTAAAAAAAAGTCCGACCACAGAACTCTGTGTAATGTAACCTGTTTGTGGGTGTCTCGTAGATGAGTTCAACAGAGTGATCATCCCAGTCAAGAGAGGGGAGGAGAGCACAGACTATGTCAACGCCTCCTTCATTGACGTGAGTAGACAGTCACACTGCGTTACGGGTCTTGAGGGTTTTTTAAATTAGACAAATGGACAGAACTTTAGCACCAATACAAGTAAGTATTCACATGTAGGTTGAATTTAAGGAGAAGCCTGTCTTGAAGTGATAGTGGAGGTAGAGACCCTTGGCGAGAGTCTGGGAAGGTTACGCAACTCATCAGATGAGCCAGATACAGGCTGAAATGGCTCCTACAATGGTTGTTGTGGAGGTGTGTGTGTGTGTGTATGGTTTCATGTGCCTAAGCTGACCTGTGTGTCTCTGTATGTGTGTCTGGTCCAGGGCTACCGTCAGAAGGACTCATACATGGCCAGCCAGGGCCCGCTGCAGCACACCATCGAAGACTTCTGGAGGATGATCTGGGAGTGGAGGAGCTGCTCCATAGTCATGCTCACTGAGCTGGAGGAGAGAGGACAGGTACGGAGGGAGGGAGGGAGTAGAGAGATGGAGAGAGGACAGGTAGAGAGGGAGGGAGGGAAGAGAAATGGCGAGAGGACAGGTGAAGAGGGATGGAGGGAGTAGAGAGATGGAGAGAGGACAGGTGAAGAGGGAGTAGAGAGATGGAGAGAGGACAGGTGAAGAGGGATGGAGGGAGTAGAGAAATTGACATTTTACTCTCAGCCCAGTCATGCCATGCCAGTAAAGTATGTTATAATTAAGCAATAAGGCCCAAGGCCATAAACCACAAACTCTGAGGTGCCTTATTGCTATTATAAACTGGTTACCGACGTAGTTAGAGCAGTAAAAATAAATGCTTTGTCATACCCGTGGTATACCACAGCTGTCAGCCAATCAGCATTCAGGGCTCGAACCACCCAGTTTATAAAAGAGGAAGTAGAGAAAACAATGATTGGAATAGGAAAGTCCTCTTATTAGTCAATTTCCTGGTTCTGTCTTATGATTAGAAGATAATTCTCTGCTAGTTTAACTACTTCCTATAGATGAATGCACAGTGCCATGAGCCTGGGAAATGAAGGAGCTTCACTTACTCTGTCTCTCTCTCTTTATCTCTCCATCTGTCTGTCTCTCTTTCTCTCCATCTGTCTCTCTCTCTCTCTGCCTTGCTCTATCTCCCATGTTTCGCTGTCTCGCTCTCTGTCTGTCTCTCCCTCTCTCTACCTCCCGCTCTCGCCATCCCCTGCTCTCTTCCTGTAGGAGAAGTGTGCCCAGTACTGGCCCAGTGATGGGGTGATGGTGTGTGGTGACATCTCCATCGAGCTGAAGAGGGAGGAGGAGAGTGAGAGCTAC